GGGAGGGGAAAGAGCATCAGGGGATGGACTGAGTCCAGTCCTCATTACAGAAGCTAAGGGGCTGGGGAGGTGACCCAGCTGGGAAAGTACTTGCCTCACAGGAATGAAGACCAAAAGATCTCCAGCACCCACATAAAAATCGGGCAGGCGTGGTCAGTCGCGGCACCTATGACGTGGAGATAGGGGGTCCCGGAAGGGAGACGGCAAGCTAGACTAAGCAAATCAGCAAGTTCCGAGTTGGGCCAGAGACCTCCCACCTCAGTAAATAAAGCAGAGAGTGATAGAGGAAGACAGCCACTGTCAACCTCTGGCCTCCACACACACAACCACATGCACACAATCACACACACGAATTCACCGTGTAAACATACACACACACACACACACACACACAGCTAAATGGAGTGCCTCCCTAGAAGAACTGCTGTATTACAACCTTCAGCAATGTCAGGACTGTCCCGGCCCCTCCCCATTGTGAGGGCTCCATTGGGTGACCTCTCAAGGTCGCCAGAATTCCACGAAGCATGTTTTTATTGCTGAAAGATCCTTCAGACTTGACAAGGAGGAGGCATTCCACCCAGCAGAAGAGGGCAGGAGGAGGTGGGGTAACATATTTGGAAATTCTGTCCCCCAGTGACCCTTTCCCCTCCCCACAGGCAGAAATCCCGGCACTTCAATGCCGTCTCCAGGAACAAACCACCTTCTGCATCTTCAGCTCTACAGGCAGCTTTTGCTGGGTGGCTGCTGGAGCAGAGGTGGGTGAACAAATGAACTCTCCCACCCTCCCCGCCCTCCCCACCACTCACAGTCTAATTAAGAGCCTCTGGAGTGGCAGGGACTCCTCGTTCTCAGAAGTGGTGGCAAAGGCCAAGAAGCCCCCGATGGTTAAAGAAGGAGAGAATCAAAGCCCATTTTCTTCAAGAGACCAACAAAACAGAAGGTGCCTCTCGTGTTACCTTTGATTTGGGAAAACATTTTTTTATTATTATTTTGTTTTAAGAAATCAGTACAGAATGAAAGGAAAGGAAAGCGGTTACCTGAGGGCAGAGGAGCGAGTCAGAGGAAGAAGGGGAACGTGAAAATAAAAGGCAGGCGCAGGACAGAAGGCACCGTGTCAAATGTGGGAGAGGGGAGAGATGGGTGGGTAGACAATTTGTCTTCCTGTTGTCTCAAATGCTTGTTAGGATGTCTCACTCCTAAAGCGAGAGTGGACTGATTCGGTGGGTGGTGTGCCTCAACAGAGAAACCCACCTCTTCTCTCTTTCAAATCTAAACCATAGGAGATCCAGAAGGAGGACCATGCTGCCTCAGGGGGTCAGGAAGATCCACATACACTCTTAGGTTTCTCATCCTCATTGAGAAAAAACTTCAGAAGTCTGGAGGAAGATTCCTAGGCATGAAGCCATAGTCCATGGGGCTCAGAGCCTTGGGGAAGGCCATGGGAGACCTGTGCCTCCTGCCACTGAGTCTTGGAATCACAATCTCTACTGAGAGTCCCTTCCTGGCCTCTTTGGGAAGAGCACCTATAAACAAGACAGTCTTGCTAAGGCCAAGAGCAAAGGAAGAGAACAGAGTGGAGCCTGGTGTTTGGATTGGTAGGACTGAGTAACGTCATATGGTGGGTAGTTGTGATCCTTAACTTCATCACATTAATACGGGCTGAGTACAGTAGTTAAGCACATCCTGGAGTGTGTCTGGATAGCTTCAAGAGAAGACTAGGCATGTTGCCTTACATGTGGTCTCTGACCCGATGGATGCATTCATGCCTTCATTATTGGGAGGAGGTGCAAGGTAAAACACAGGGCCTCATTGGAGGAACTGGGTCACCAGAGGGGCTCCACCTTATCCTATCCTCTCCTTGTGTCCCTTTTCCTCTGCTTTCTGGCCTCCAAAATGTGAACTACTTTGTTCTGGAATGTTCTCTGTCCCTGCACTGTGATAAACTGCCACCTTTGAAATAATAGGCCAAAATAATTCTTTTTCTCCTTGAGTTTTTTTGTTTTTGTTTTTGTTTTTGTTTTTTTGGGGGGGAAGGTGGGGGAAGGGGGATATTTGGATACAAAATGCCGAAGTATGGCACTCACAAAATCTTTTCATGCAGCAACTCACACCTGTGAGAGACAACACCCCATATTAGTAAGGGAGAAGAAAATACCAGGTACTAAGGAAAGGGAAGAGTTAACACATATGATTCAAGATGCAACAAAAAAGAATCAAGATTTACCGGTGTCTGACACTGAACTTTTTGTTTATTTGGTTGGTTTTTGTTTTTCGAGACAGGGTTTCTCTGTGTAGTTTTGGTGCCTGTTCTGGATCTCTCTGTAGCCCAGGCTGGCTTCAAACTCACAGAGATCTGCCGGGCTCTGCCTTCTGAGTGCTGGGATTAAAGGCATGTGCCGCCGCCGCCCTAACACTGAACTTTTCTCACAGTCTCGGATACAGCTTTTTTTATTCTTTTGCTAGAGATTAGGGGATTGGGCTGAGGTGATGGCTTGGCTTGCTGGCTGCGCAAAGATGGGAACCTGAGTTTGGACTGCAGGTCCTACACAAAATCCGAGGCGTGGTGGTTCACGCCTGTAATCCCAGTGCTAGGGAGGAGAGGAGGCTCTTGGGAGCTTTCTGGCCAGCCAGTCTAGATGAATCAGTGAGCTCCAGGTTCAGTGACAGACTTCGCCCCATCTAGGTAGAGAGGCTGGAGAGATAGCTTAGCACTTAAGAGTACTGACTGCTTTTCCAGAGAACCTGGGTTTAATACCCAGCACCCACATGGTGCTCACAACCATATGTAATTCCATTCCTAAGGAAATCCATCTCCAGGGACATCAGGAACACATGTGATGGATAGGCATATACATGTGCAGTCAAAACATTCATATACATAAATATAAATGTAAAAATTAGATGGAGAGTGATTGAGGGAGACACCCAATGTCAACCTCTGGCCTCCACATACACGCATGTCCACAAGCATTCTCACATGCATATACATACACACACAGAGACACAAAAGAACTGGTGCCTGTTAATTCTAAAGTAGTCCCTAGCATTCCCCCTACAATCCATCAATTCACCTTCAAGCCTCCCTAATGTGACTCAGTTCTAAATTTCACAGAGTTTGGCCATTTTCTGTATTCAGTGGAAATACACAGAAGTCACTAGTCATATTGGGACATCGAGTTTGGGTCCCCAGAGATGGACAGCCCATTCATCCATCCACACGGATGTCACTAGTCACATTGGAACACAGAATTTGGGTCCTGGGAGATGGACAGTCCATTCATCCATCCATTATCCATCCCTCCATCTTTCCATCTAGCCCCTGAGTATCCATGTACACATGCATCATGGACACAGCCATCCCACCCCTGCCTCAGGTTCCACCCTTAGCTCCAGGAGGCTTTTGCAGTATTTTCCAAGCTCCTGCTTTCTTCCCTGATCTGCACTGGGCTATGAAATGTTCTCTTCAATTATTTCCCTTCTCCTCGTTTCAGAACAGCCAAACCAATAGCACGGCTCCATGGCTTATGTACCATATGTCACTGTGCTATGAAATATTAAGCCTTCACAATAGGTCCGAAGTCAGCGACGCACAAGCCTTTAATGGCTTAGCTCACTCGGGCTATTTGAAAGTGGCATAATATTGCTTTTTTTAAATAAATGGGATCGGTATTAATGAGAGCTGACCTCTCTCAGCCATGCCGATCTGCTCCCTGCATCGAGCCCACATTGGGGATTGGGCATGAAAGGGAGGGGGAAAATAGCTTTTCAAAATAGGAACCATGCAGTACTTTAAATAATTCTCACAGATGCTAATCAACTTTGGGGAGGGGTGGTGGCGGGATGATTATTTGAGAGGATAATAGATCTCATTTTTAAAAGAAAACTTAGAATCAAGAGGAACTGGGGGTGGGGGAAGATGGAGGGAGAGAGAGGGAGGGAAAGAGAGAGAGGGAGAGAGAGAAAGAGGGAGAGAGGTGTGTGTGTGTGTGTGTGTGTGTGTGTGTGTGTGTGTGTGTGTGTGCATGCACAACGACTCGGACAAGCGAGCGTAAGTGAACACAGGTCGAGACTGCAGGGACAAAGCATATTGAGACATGAGAATCATTGTGCTTTTCCAGGCTGGTTGGGGAAACCTAGGCAGGGTTGACAGGAAGTCTTGTTGACCAGCTATGGGAAAGATGATGACCTAAGAAAGACCCCCTTACATTAGCAACGTTCTGAGAGCACAGGTGGGTGACTCTGGAACTCCGAAACTCTGTCCCCGGATGAGGAATGATGAGACCAGGGAGGGCCCTCCTCTAGGCTCTTGGCCTGTCACGTGGCAAGCTTACACCTTCAGCCAGGCTACAGGTACAAAGTGCTAAAAGCAGACCGAGAGAGTAGAACTTGGTGAGGCCTCTCTGTCTATGGAGACCTAGGGCGTGTGCTATATTTCCAGATGTGCCGGATGGAACCAAGACAAGAGCACCCTGACCCACGGTGTCTGATGTCTAGGACACTGATGGAGCTGCTTCTTCCTCCCGCTGTTTGGTGGAGCTGAGGCGGGACAGGAGGACCTCAGGTGTAGGCAGGGAGACACATAGGAAAGGGCCCGGGAAGAACGTGAGGAGAATGGACACAGGGCTTGACCAGGACAGCCTGGCCAGGAGGATTTAGAAGAATCATGCCTCTGCCACCTGCTTGCCCCAGAGTTGTGGTAAAAATCCACACCCCTGATAGCTCTTCGAGACCAGACATTCTGCTTTTTAAGAATACGGAGCCAGGCATAGCGGCACATGCCTGCAATAGCCATGCGCAGGAGGCGAAGGTGGCGTTGCAAGTGTGAGGCCCGCCTACACAGTGAGACCCTACACAGTTTTCAAACAGAAAACAGCGCAATAAAGCGTATATGACGGTACTCCTCCTCTACCTGTTCGGAATTAGTTGTCCATTGTTGTGTAACAAATGATTCCGAAACTTAGCGGGTCAGATCATGAAAGCTTTGTTATCTTACAGTCTCTCTGAGTCAAGAATCTAGACCCAGCTAATATGGGTACTTTGTAGGAGTCTCTCAAAAGGCTTCCACCACAGTGTCTCCTGGGACTGGTGCCGCGGACTAAGGCTTCACATGGGAAGGATTTGCTTCCAAGTTCACTCATGTGGGTATTGGCGAGGGTCCATTCACTGCCATTGAAATGAGGATCTCAGTGACTTGCTGACCTTTGGTTAGACACTTCCTTAAACTCCAACACTACGGCTCAAAACCTTCCAGGTGGCTTCCCTTGGGTTATAATCTACTGGTAACTTAATGTCTGATGTAACATCCCATCAGTTTTCTTACATGCATGGGTGCACACGTGTGTGTCTCTTTGTGTGTGTGTGTGTGTGTGTGTGTGTGTGTGTGTGTTATATGTGATGTATGTACATGTTCCTGTGGATGTGTGCATTTGTGCATGCAGGTGTGCATACAGATTAAGTACATGTGGGTATGGAGGCCAGAGGTCAATCTGGTGGTCTTCCTCGATCTCACATCTCTGCAATCTTTTGAGATTTCTCACTGAACCTGGAGCTCACTGATTTGGCTGTACTGCCTTGCCAATGAGCTCCCAGGCTCCACCTGTCTCTAATCTATACTTCCCTGTGCTGGGGTTAGATGTGTGCACACCAGACTCTTGACGCCGGTACTGGGGACTTGAGCTGAGGACCTTATGCTTGTATGGCAGGCACTCTCCCCTCTGAGCTCTCTCCCTGGACACACTTGCCCATGTTCTTGGTGAAAGTTGTCACCAGAGCCGACTCCCAGTCAAGGGGAGACACTTACACAAGTATATAAACATCTGAAATCAGGGAGCATTGGAGGCCATCTCGAAAGTTCCTACTATCTCTCCTTTGTCTTCAACAAGACAAGAGAATGGGACACAGTAAATACCCTACGACAAGGACTGGCCTTATTCTCCTCTGTACCCCCCAGATTCTAGTGTGGACCTCAGCTCTTGTCCTGGCTGCTTCCTTCCAGAAACTTCTTTTTTCTTAAAAGGAAAAAAAAAGTGGGGGTATCTTCTAAGTCTCATGGTACAGAGTCATCCTTAAGGTGGAGATAGAGCCACGTCTGACTGTAGATACTCCTTTCCTTACACCGAACTCCTTCTTTTGATCCTCCCTACAGCTTCTCGTGAAAGAGAAAGACAAATGTCATCAAAAGTGATATCTGGAAAGTGAGAAGAGAGAGCGAGACCAGCCTCCCCACACCCTGCAACTACCCAGCTTCAGACACGACCATCTGAACTGGACAGTGTGTTTTATTAGCTGCTTTAACTTTCATAGCAAGTTTTCAAGGTAAAAATAATTTGTTCGTTTTCTGTATCTCAGAAAACTGAGATTTGCCGAAATCAAATGACATCCGTACATTCCCATATCTGCAGATAACTGGAAGTCAAACCCAGGCCCCTTAGTGTTCTGTCCCGCTAACAGATTGGAAATAATGGGGAAGAAGGAACGCCAGATACTGCATCAAGTGTCAATGTCACAAGGTATGATGGTTAATTGATTGTCCTCTTGATTGAACTAGGAGGTTTCTGGGAGATTAGTAAGCTACACACCGGGCTGTGCCTATGGGGGGATTTCCAAAGACAGGCGGATCTTGAGGGGTCTGACCCAATGAATGGTTTAATCAGCTGATAGGCTAGGCTCAAAATCCAAATAGCATTCCGGCAGGTGATGGATTGTGGAAGGCAGGGCCTAACTGAAAGAAGTGGGCCCTGGAGGCTTGCCTTTGAAGGGTTTACCTGTCCTAGCATGTTCCCGTTATTCCTGTATGCCTTCTGGCTATGATGAGTTGGGCAGCCTCTACCACACACTTCTGCCACCGTGGCATTCTGTCTCACTGCAGGCCCGGTGCTGAGCTTGGACTGAAAACACAAGTCAACAGAACTAGTTCCTCCTTCCACTGTGTTCTTAGGTGCTCACCACAGCAATGGATGATACAACTAGATGAACAAAGAAGGCTTCTGGTACCAAAGACAGCTTGACCAAGGCTGGATGGTGGCCAGCTCACTATCATAGGGTCACACTTGGTTTGTGACCAACACCAGTGCTATTGTCTGCTTGCCATCCTTCTTGAACTCACTCTTGGGTCTGCACACACGGGACTGAATGCCAACATCATATATAAAGATTCACACGTAAGAGAGAGCTTGAAGGACCACTCAAGCAAAGACAGCCCTCTTTATTGGGCAGAAGGTGGACCGGGTCTCTCAGGATAACAACTGAAAACAGGGAACTACCTCTAGTATTTGAAAGTTCTGAAGGGTTCACCTTTAAACACTCAATTTCATTGCCGGAGTTGACCTCTACGCCCAGGAAGTGAGACACAGACGAGGAGTCTCTGGATTCTCTTTGGAAGGCTTTAAAAGGAGAAGGAGGGTGGTAGAAATGGGGAAGAGATAGCGTGGAAGAAAATCCACTCTCTGCTCCACTCTTCAGCTTCTATATGTGCATGCTTGTACACACACACACACACACACACACACACACACACACACACACACACCTCCCCAAATCCGATGAAGCTCTCTATTTTCTCCAACCACAACAGACATTTCAAAGTAAACATCAAGGCTCCTTATGCTTCTGCTCACCCTGCCCCCCCACCACACCCCAAGGCCCTGGTTACCAATGGCTCTGGTAACCCATGGCTGGTTAGCACTCCCACCTAGACAAACTCTGGGTGACAGCTGCTTGTGTTTGTAGTGGTATCATCCTAGGACAGAAAGAGACCTCTAGTGGCCAACACCTCTGCCCTGTTTTGTTTCCACATGAGTTCCTCTAAGCTCAGCCACAGCCAAGGTTCATCTAGCTCTTGCTGCGTGCTCACGGTACTGAGTTGCTGTGTCTCTGTTATTTTCTTTAATCTTGCCAGCTGCAATGTAAATTCATATATGCTGAGGCAAGGGAGAAAAAAAATATATGCTGCTCTGAGTAATTGGTACCGATAAATGGAATGTATGACTAAGAACCCGCTTTTAAAAATGTAGCAGAAACCAGAAGTACCCTAGTTTTGAAACAGTCGATGCCTAGTTGTTAAAAGCAGGGTGAATATACTACATTTTGTTTGTGGTAATTCATTGCTCCTACAGTGACAATAAAAGACAGAATAGTTATCAGGAATCCTGGGTTCAAGCCCTGGCAATCTCACTTTCCTGCACAGGCACGGAAGGAAGATTTTGGACAGGATCTTGGGTAAGTTTCCACACAGCTCTGTGCTTCCATACATGATATGTATGCAGGGCTGTGGCAAGGGGCCGAGGTGCAATTGCTGAGTTATGCCATTCCTGTCAGGAGGAAATGCCTTGGCCTCCTCTTGCAGGCTGCTGCCGCCGTGGTGGTTCAGATCACGGAGGGGATTTTATAATTGGCAGGTGCCTCAGCTTAACTCACAGCTCTTGGGAGCTGGCTGTCAGGGGAGAGCTCAAACTTGCTACTAGCCCCTTCTGAATTGCTAATACAGGGGAGCTGCTGAGCTTCCGCTGGAGGTCCCCATACTACTGACCTCCTCAGCTGTGGACTAAGGCTACTGCCACTTGACGGGTACATCAGCCTTTCAAACCACGTGGTCCTTTCCCTGGTGCTAATGGCATTCAACACAAAAACACTGCCCTGACAAATGGAGCTCAGCCCTCCTAGCCTCCCAGGCTCAGGGCACCAGTCAAATCCATCTGCAATACCTCCTGCTTACAAAGCAGCCTCAGGCCACTTGCTCTAAAAACGCTTAGGGCTCTTGGCTTTGGGAGAGAGGTGCCCATCTCTGGCTCTGTAAGCAGATAATATGCTCCCATCAGTGCCTGCCACTGTACCAGACAGCAGGAGGTAGATGGCCAGGAACAGAATGTTGGAGGCCAAAGAGGTGTGGGGGTGGGAAAGGGGGCACTGTTCTTCTGGGTGGATTTCTTGGGCTAAAGAGAAAACTGTCTACTTCTGTGCTTACCAGTCTTTTTGATGGGTGTAGTGTGTGTAAGCCAGAGGACTGTATTTCATTATTTGTGTTGCTCTAATGGAATACCGGAGACTAGGTAATTTATAAAGGATAAAATTTCGCTTCCATAGCTCTGGAGGCCAGAAACCCAGCATCAAGGGTCTGGCAGGTGTAATGTCTGTTCAGGACAGCTCTCTGCTTCCAAGTTGGTGCCTGTTGCTATAACCTCCAAAATGGACACATGCTATATCCTCCACAGTGGAAGAAATGGAAGGGAATGGATGCATTCTCTCAAGCCTTTTTTTTTTTTTTTTTTTGTGGTCCCTGATTCTGCTCACAAGTGTTCCACCCTCATGACAATAACACCCAAAAGGCCTCACTTTTTAACACTATCATATTGATGATTAAGTCCAGTGCATAAATCGCAGTACCCATCCAGAGCAAGGACCAAGGGACACATTTCCATTTTGGAGCCATAGGGACAATATAAAGATCAGAATAGCCATGATGAGGAGGTCGCTGTGAGAGCAGAAGAAATTTCTCACAGGAGTGCAGGATCTGTGTCCACAAAGTGAAGGATCCTAACAAATTTCCCACTCTGAGAACCCGGGCTCCGCATTCTCCCTCCAGCAACGTGGTAGCTGCCTTTCTCATGGCGCTTTGCCTTTCACGTGCCCTAGAATGCTCCCCGCTTCCTAGTTAACTACTGCCTCTGTTAATCTGCTCATGACAAGTGAACCCATTCAACATATGCTTGCCTGCCAATCAGCCCGCACAAGGCTTGAAGCTCTGCTCCAGGATAGCTAGCCTTCCCCTGTTAGGCCATGACCATGTCCTTGCAGACCCTAATGGCTGACACGACACACCCTTTTGTTTTGATTTCGACACGCAGCTTATCTTCACCGCTAGTCCACAGTTCGCCGGGCACAAGAGCTATGCATCCCATTTCCCTTCTTACGGTATAGCAAGCATAGCTCACAGAAGCATCCGTACTATTTATAAATAAATGATAAATGGAGAGTAAATACTTCGCGGTTTTTGCACAGACTCTCGTGCCTGAGCTACAGTCTCACCCACCTAATACCGCCACGGTGTGACGTGAGTCCAGCTTCTTATCGGCTTCTTCTCCCTTCATGTGTGATAAGGATCCCTGAGCATCCCTTGTTGGTACTTTTGCTTTCAACAGCCAAACAGTCTGGTCACCTGTCCATGAGCAGTTATGTGACATGCTAAAATCCTACAGCCATCCATCAGGACTAATCTGGGATCTCTAAGAAGAAATGTATCTATAATGCCAGTGCTGAGTCTCAACAACTGCCCTATTGTTCACATAAGAAATCTTATTCCCCCAACAAACCCATGGAGATGAGGTAGATCCTTCCTCTGCCTCCCCCTCTCACCCTTTCCCTGGTCACATGGGACGAGAAGGCTCGGGGTATTCTTTCACGTATCATAGCCAGGTAGCTCTCTTCCCCCAATCAGATGAGGAGTGTGCGTGGGTGAGAGCAGCATGCAGTGTGTGTGTGTGTGGGGGGGGTGTCCCTGACTCAGCAAGCTGTGTTCAGCATGCTGGAGGGGTTCTCTTCTGCAACTAACACAGAGCTCAGGAAAAATACCCGCATCAGCCATTTCTCATAACAAGAAAGAGACCAATTTCCAAGATGCCGGCTGATTTCCATATCCCTCCCCCCTCCTTTCTGAAACACGATGTAATCTCTCCCCTGCAATATAATAAATATTTCACTTTCAAATCCCGATTCATTAAAAGAAGCCCAGGAGGGAGAAATAATAAGGTGTCGCTTTACAGCCCAAATAAAACAGTGAAAGATATATTCTATAATTTATACTTCTGACTTTGGGTTGAGATAATTCATATATCATTTTCAGTTAGGGACCCAAAATGGTGCTGCATCAGCAGATTGGCTGAAAAATAACTTTTTGTATTATGTTATGCCTTTCAGTAACATGCCCTGGTTATCATACATCAACACTGGGGTGACTTCAAGTGTCTCAGCAGCTCTTCCTGAGTCATTCCCTTTCACAGACAGTGTGACTTGCTCTCCTTAGTACAGATGGAGGCCCTCGGCTGAATGCATATACATTCTCCACGGTACAGAAGCAGAGCTCCAACTGAAATCGGCTGGACGGGAGACATTTTTCTTGCCATTATTACCAGAACCTCCCCATTCTTCACCTCTAAGGATCAGAGAGCTAAATTGACCTCAGTGGGAGACGTGCTACCTGGCATTTTTCCGATCAAGGTGTAGCACTTTTACAGCCAGGGTTTTTTTAGAAGATGAAAACACAACTCTAATGAGGCAGGTATTTTTTGAGCAAGTTATTAATTTCCCTGAGCTTGAGACTTGGAAATTAAAAACAAAAAAAAATGGAGATGATAAGAATAATAATAACGAGCCAAACAGACTTCGGAGCAGTACCTGAGGCCGAAGTCATAAGTGGTGGTGAGCATTTAATGCATGCTTATGACAGACACACACCAAGCACCAGGCTGCTTGGAAGGTGGTTTATCTCATTAACTCTCCTGCACCCTGACTTCCACTGGTGTCACTTCCAGTGGGGCTGCAAAAGCTGAGCCATTTGCCTATGGTGGTGCAGACTGCAAATAGGTACCGAGAATTACACTTTGACCTGGTTTCCATGATGAAGCATTCTCCCAAACTTCCCAGTCGACCCTTACAGTCATACCAGAAGGGAAGTGGAGCAGGGGAACAACTCTGAGAAAAGGGGCCCACATGCCCCTCGTGCAATGGTGCTCACTCCTGTGGTTTCACCCCAGTAGCCCTTGGATTCAGGTATCTGGTGAGTGCTCGAGGTCTTTGGAATCCTTCAGGTCAAGCAGGGAAGTCAAGCCATCTCTGCCAATCAGCTTTCTACTCAGCAGATCCCATCACTGTGGCAAATGCCTGAGGGAAGCGGCTGAAGAGAGGACAGCCTTTTCTTTACAGCTCATCACTTCAGAGGTTTCAATTCATCATGTTGGAAAAGCTGTGGTCGGCTGGAGAAGCTGACACCATGGTAGCCAAGAGTCAGAGGGCGGACACAAGAAAGAGCCAGGGAAGAATATCGCCCCCAAGTCACCACACCCAGTGACCTACTTCCTCCAGCTGGGCCACACCACATAAAGTTTCTAATGGCTTGCTAGATTTCAACACATGGGCCCATGAGTTAAAGTGACATGCGTCTGTAGGGTTTGGTATTCTCTCAGCATTTTTATTGATATTTGAATATAAATATTTCGTATATAGACTGTACCACTCCACTTGTCCTGAAAGGTCCCTATTGAGACCAATCTTCTGTCCTATCTGACAACCAGACACTAGACAGAATTAGCTCCTTATACCAGGAGCAGTCTGTGGGGTTTCAATAGCAGTAAAGGCATCAGGCTGACATGGTCCTGCCAAAGTTTT